ATAAACTACATAAATAGTGTTCAATTTTTTTTAGGGAACTTATATATTAGTTATTAAACTTTCAGAACTTACAATACAATTACTAATTTATTTCTATAATGGTTATTGTCGTATGTTATCAATAAAAAATAGCTTAATATAAACATATGTGTCCAAATTATACCGCTTTTTCCAAATATGCAAATAAATATTTTTTGGTTAATATAGGTGTCTAACGTTACAAACGTTATCATTTTAGGTGTCCGAGTCGTAACTGCCATTAAAAATCCTGTTAAGTGACACATGTCACATTATGATAATTTTGATTTTAAAAAACTTGAAAATATTATTATATTTAAAAACCCGTAATTTTTCTAAAATTATAAAAAAAAAACTCAAATTCCTAAAAATTCTTAAAATAAACCCTAAAATCCCTAACCCTAAATTTACTTTCTCCTTAGTCGACCACAATCGTCGACGTCGAGGTCGCTTTTGACATCTTCCTTGCTTGTCGTCGATATTGTCGTCGGATTCATCGTTTGTCGCAAATTCCAATCGTTTTCAATGTTCATCATTCGTCAGGTTTACTGTCTATTTTATCATCGTGATGCGGTTTACTGGTGGTTGTAGGGTAAATGATCATCGGATAGAGGCACGTTCAGGGGTGGGCTCGGTCGATGGCAATGGTGGTAAAAGCGACGATCGACATGGGTATAAGGTTGAAATTAGGGTTTCCAAAGTTTTAGAGATTTTTTTAATATTTCTAACAAAATTAGGTTTTTAATAAAAAATTTTAATTTTAAAAAAAATCAAAATTATTAGAAAGTGACACATATCACTTAAAGGATTTTTTAATGGTAGTTACGATACAGATACCTAAAATGATAATGTTTATAACGTTAAGCACCATTATCGACTGAAAAAAAGTTTAGACATCTATTTAAGAAAAAAATATAATTTGAACGCTTATATTTATATTAAATCTTAAAAATAACTATGTAACACGTTAAATTATATTCTTTCTCCCAAAACTCCAAAAATCTTTTTCGAAATTAACAGTTGTCGATCTCTTTTTATTTGCACTATCATCATTCGTCATTTTTCTGATCATCATTGTCACTAAACATACAACTTAGCATACTTGAACTTCTTCAAACTCCTAGAGTTCTCCAATAATCGTGAATGCACCACAAGTAGGGTGTACAAATTCACTACCCGCAAAAATAAACTAATAAATGACTTTAAAAATTAAAAAGTATCTATTTAACTTTACTTACAGCTTAAAAAATATTTTTAAAAAATAATATTAAACACACTTGCGGTTAAGACAAGTCAATCAACTAAACTTTTTTATTAGATTTCAATGAGTTCATATTCTGATACGTGTCATTCATAGCATTCACATAATATATCTCTTGTATTTTTTTTATTTTACTTTAACATATAAAATACATCAAAAGCTAAAGCTATCTCCCACCAGTTTCCCAAGTCTTGTCCAATTCTCCGTTCTAAAAAACCTAACCCTAAAAGCCTCCACGTCAATTAACACTATTCCCTGTAAAATAGAAAAAAATGTATAATTATCAAATTATCGTTGAAGCATATTTTTTAACAAGATTAATTCTTAATATTAAAGTCAAAATGTTTACATGAAAGTTGCAACACCCCGAAAATCGGGTTAGTAGTTTCGGGTTTAATGTTTGGCTTGGAGTACTTAGGTAAGCCTAATTTAAGCAATTGGGTCAAGAATGAAGAGAATTGGGCTTGTGATGAAGCCCATAATGTGTTAAAATGGGTATTTTAAATTGAGGTCAAAGTAAGGAGGACCAAGAGAACAATTTACCCATAGTTTAAAACAAAAGTTGATCCCCTTAATTGTGCATATATCACACGTTGGGAAGGTCTTCTCCTTTGTCTTCTTCTTTTTCATCATCTTTTCTTCCCTCTTATTCCTCTCCAAATCTCCCAAAGGTGAAAACTTTATTGTCCCATGTTCTTAGTATGAATTTGTGAAGGTAATAAATGAAATTTCCTCCCCTAAAGCTTCATTTCTAACCCAAAATCTTAAGGTTTGGCCATGGTGACCAAAATGGGGGGTTTTAGAGAGGTTTTGGTTTTAAGGCTTATGAGTGTTCCTAATCTGTTTATGAGTGTTTAGAATCATGTTTCTACTCACTTAGAGTTTTTGAATAAATTAGTAATCATCTTATTTGCTTGTGGTTAGTGAGAGAGTTGGGAGAAAGCTAAAGGCCAAGAACAAAGAAAAGTTAGTGCTTGGGTGATCTTGAGATCCCTTTTCAACAGCTGGTGTTGAGGTAACACATAATTAACTCCCTTCTACCACATTTAGGTCATTAGACTATGTTTGTTTTCTTGTTGTGTTCATGGGTATAAATATGGGTCTTTGTGGGTTTTAAGGAGAATGTGTTGTTTTGATGTTTATATTGTGTTGGAATGGCTTATAATGATGCGAAGAACTTCCATAAAACTTAATAAATGTTTAAGAGCCTTAAAGAGGCTTGTGAGGGGTTTTTTGGGAACCATTTTCATGCCTAAATAGGATATTTCTCGGCAGGGGTATCAGTATTAGAGGAATAATACGGATATTACTCTTCGTATAGCCTTAAGAAAAGGGATTTTAGGCTAGTAGTATTGATACGCATTCAATGGGTAGCAGTACTTCAGGATGAGTATCGATACCGTAAAGGGGAGTATCAATATCGTGGACACTTTGTAAATTTCAATAGCCATTTTTGGTATCGATACTCCGTGGGTAGAGTATCGATACTCTGTGGGTAGAGTATCGATACTCTCATACTATGAATTATTTTGAAACATCGAAGCCATTTTGTGTATCAAATACTAGGGTCAGTATCGATACCCCCAAGCGAGTGTATCGATACTCTCAGCAAGAGTATCGATACTGAGCAATTTTTCAAAACATCGAAGCTAATTTCGATTCGGTACTCGGGGCAGCATCGATACACAAGGCTAGTATCGATACTACCAGGCCCAATGTCGATACCATCGTCTTGGTTTGGGTATAAAACTCAATTAATTTAAAGATCTTGAAAATAGGGTTAAGAAGACATCTAGACTTCTCTAATAAGACTACAAGTGAGAACATCAACGATAATTGTTAAAACGAGAATAATTATTAATGTGGCATAAGACCAGGCTTTGTTTACCACTCGGGAAACGACAGGACACCTGAGTTACTTGAGCGTAAGCATGTTCAAACTGTGATTGAGAATAGTGATATCCAGATTATCCCTATCAGTGCGAACGCACTTCCGTATTAGTGCTGAGGCACTTTAGTATTTTCTAAGGCACTTTTGTGATAAGATGGCAAGGCCATAATATGTACTTTTATGTTGTGTTAGTGCTCGATACTTTGCTATGATTTATGCTTGGTGCATTCCATTGTAGCATGACATAGCTTGTTCGAATTCATAGCTAATGAATGCATTTAGTATAGTAGAGTTGTTTATGTGGCATTGAGATAGTAGCTCAACGTTCAGAATTGTTTCCGTTCGTAGGTTAATAGGTGTCAGTTCGGGAGCTTATCGCCAGATTCTAAGATTCCAGATATCAGCAGACTTCAGGGTACGTCTTGGTTATTTTAGTGGGCATGTATTTCATAGACTCTTTATATAAATCGAGTCGTAACTCTTGATAACTTATTTATATTTGAGATTTATTTTTGGGAGCTCCTCGTTTTGTAAACTTAATTATTTTGTCTATTTCATCACTTTATTTGACGCTTTAATTATGAATTTGAAATGCTTTTAAAGAAAATTATTGGGTTAGCCACTTTGGTGGTCCCGTGTAATATCTAAAACCGTCGGACTTCGGTTGGATTGGATTTAGGGGTTACAAAAGTTAATAGAAAATATAACTTTTTTAGTATTTTTAATTTATATATTTTTAAATTAAATTTGTACATAAATAATTTTTTTTTTGAAAATACAGAAATATACTTACACAAATATAATTATATGTTTATTTTTAGGTACCAATATATTGAGAGATGTACATACTCACACTAGTGTAAGTATTTTTTTTATGTATCAAGATATTGAAAGATGTACATACGTACACCAGTATAAGTATAATATCAAATTATTTGAAAAAAATTAATAGAAAACATAATATATATATATATATAATATAGAAAACCTTATATGAAAATTAATCTTAAAAATAAATATAATAAAACAAATAGCAAAAATAAAGCTTGAATCAAACACGTGCATATATAATAAATAATCAAAATAAAATAAAATTTGATATTTTTGTTTTACTTTTTATTTTATATGCATCATACTATTTTAAAATAAGTATAAAAAAAAGATGAAACCATTAAAAAAAGAAATAAAATAAATTTATAGTCATGTAATTATATACAGAAGTAGGGATAATTTTGAAATAATTATATAACTTTCTAGGTATTATTGTTATAAGGGGAGAGAATTATTTAATACCTGAAAGAGAATGATGTTCTGGGAAAAAACTAAACAATTCTCATTGTTAGAAATACTTCATTATCACTAGGAGGGAATGCTCTTAAATCAAACATAGAAATGTTATTAAAAAAAGATCATTCCCCTAATAATGAATTTTTTCCGTGAACCAATCGTAGACTCAATGAATTAGTTCAACTATTGATATATAAAAATCATATTCAATCAATTATTAAATAATTTTCTCTTTCATTTCTAGCTTTATAATTTATATTATTCTTTTAATTCGACATCGGTAATTGTATAGATTGGATCATCGATTTTCATTTAAATTAGTTGATAATGATACTATTCTTTACTAATTCGATTTGATATTAACATATATTTTTGAGAGGGATGAATTAAGTCAAATTTTATACAAACAATTGTGTTATTCGGGTGTAACACCAATAACCCTAAACAAACACGTCCGTACCATGACACTTAGAAAGTAGGCTAGTCCCCAAACCTGAAATAGAGTGTTTACTTTTCCTCTCTTTTATCTCTTCTCCATGACCCCATTTTCTGCTCCGTCTTCTTCTTCTTCATTTCACAAGCAAAAAAATCAAAGATGGGGAGAGGAAAGATCGAGATCAAGAGGATAGAGAACTCAACTAACAGGCAGGTGACTTACACAAAGAGAAGGAACGGTATCATGAAGAAAGCTAAAGAGATTACCGTTCTTTGTGATGCTAGAGTTTCTCTCATCATCTTTGGCAGCTCTGGGAAGATGCATGAATATTGCAGCCCTTCGACCTCGTATGAATCCTTCTTTATTCCTTTATTTCTACCTTTTTTTTTATAATTTTAAAAAGACAGTTCATCTTTTTGGTGGTGAAGGTTGATTGATATTCTGGACCAATACCAGAACACTTCCAGGAAAAAGTTGTGGGATGATAAACATGAGGTAAGGTTAAGTTTTCTTTCATTTTCTTGCTGGGGAAAGTGACCTTTTTTTGGGTAAAAAACACATGAAGTATGGAACCTCTGAGTAGATGTACAAATGGGATGTTTGAAACTTTGAAGTAATCATGTTGTTGAGAATGAAAACTAAAAAAGTTTTTCAAAAACTATCTGAGAAACTGGTAGGTAAACATCGTCTATGAACAGATCTGGTAAGAAAATTGTTATTCTTAACTTTCCTTTTCCTTGCAAAAATTGAAGATCCATTAAAATAACAATTAAACGTGATTTTCCCCATGGACAGATCTCCAGTAAGATCTACCTAGTTTCATACCGGTAGCTTTAGGGTTTCTTGGTTAAAAGCATGAACTCCATACGTAGGCTCATAGGTCATATATATATATATATATTGCTATGATTTTCTTGTGAAAGATGAACCAAGAGGTTCTTTTTATATATCTAAACAAAAATCCATTGCAGAATCTCAGCAATGAAATAGATAGAATCAAGAAAGAGAATGATAGCATGCAGATTGAGCTCAGGTATATGAATTTACAGCTTTGTTTCTTTTGGAAATTACTGAAAAAAGCAAGTAGAAAACTAGTCAAAGTTTATATGAATATATAACAACCTTAACTAGGATTATGATATGTGTGCATACGACGCGTCCTTAAATTAGGCATTTGAAAGGGGAGGACATCTCGTCTTTGCCTTACAAGGAGCTGATGGCTTTAGAGGATGCCCTCGAGACTGGCCTCACCTGCGTCCGTGCCAAGCAGGCCAGTATCACTTATTACTCTCAATACAATCTATATCTACATATATTGTTTCAAAGCTTATGAATCTGATGATTTTGTTTCCTTTGTGTGCAGATGGATGCTCTTGATGTTGCAAAGAAAAATGTATGCATGTTTTTTTCATTACTATAATTAGGTTAAAATTGGAGACAGATTAGGATGATTATTATATGATACATCGTCTCTGAAAAATTGATTCTATGAGCCATCTTATGACGACTACATGTATTATGTTATTCATTTTTAGTTATATTTTTAAAATATGAATATACTTATCAGTTATCATAATTTTAATATAACACATCATCATTTTAATGTCGCTTGTAAAACCATTATTCTCTTCTTATAATATAATCAAATAATAATATCTACACTTTTGGGGTGTTCTTTTTCAGATGAAATTCTTGGAGGATGACAATAAGCAATTGAATCTCATTATGGTATTTTTCTTCTTTTCTCTTATGCTGCACCTTTCTTTTCCAAGCTTCACACACACGGGGATGCAGGGTTAAAACTTAAAATATTTGTATAACAATTTATTAGTTATATATTCAATTCTCTAATAATATTTTTTAACTGTTTTATTTAAATATAATTTTATAATAGTATAGGAAGGATAAATATACTCTTATAATAAATATTATTATATTTTAAAAAAAACTCTCAAAAAATTTATTTTAAAATAAAAACTTTATCATTTTTAACCAAATTGATGCTTAATTTCAACTTAGTCAAGAATTTAATATATAATCTAGATATAAATGTCTAAGATGTGTGTATCAATGCAGCGGGATGAAAAAGGTGATTGATATTTATACATGCAGGAGCGAATCTATGATTTATTTTTGGAGAGATTGAAATTAATTTTTAAACTTTAGAAGAGTCAAAATATAATCTTATTGTTGCATTAATTTATATATTTATAATTTTTTGAGTAAACATAAATATAAAATTTACCATTATTGAGGGCAAATCCAATTGTATCACTACGTTAATTAAAAGATTATAAGGTAAAATATACAAACGGTCTCTCGATTATAGACTCTTGATTTGTTGAGTCACACGACTATTAAAAATTACAAAAATGATCTTTTGACTATAGGGCATTTTGCTTTGTTGAGTCCTCCAACTATTAAAAATCACAAAATGATCACATGAATATCAATATGTTTCAAACTCGTAATTTTTTTTAAAAAAAATTAATGGCATACTCAACTAGACACTAACCTGTTGATTGTGGTATGATAAAATTTGATCCTAAAATCTCAAACTACTATCATATCTAAGTCAACAAGTTAATGTCTAGCTTAGATTGTCATCAAATTTTTAACGAAAAAGAAAGAGTTGGAACATATGAATAGTTGGTTAAAAAATCACAAAATGGTCACGTGACTATTCATATGTTCCAAACTTGTCCTTTTTGGTTAAAAAATTAATGGCAGTCTCAACTAGACATTAACTTGTTGAATGTGATATGATAAAATTTGATCTCAAAATCTCAAATGACTATCATATCTTGGTCAATAGATTAATGTCTAACTTAGATTGTCACAATGTTTTAACGAAAAAGGACGAGTTTGGAACATATGAATAGTTGAGTGATCATTTTGTAACTTTTAGTGGTTGAGGGACTAAACAAAGCAATGTCCTATAGTTCGGGATCATTTCATAATTTTTAATAGTTAACTGACTCAATAAAATAGCGTCCTATAATCGGATACCATTTGTGTACTTTACCCAAAAGTATAATATTAAAAGAACTAAAACTATAAGTTTTTTTGTTTAGGGGCTGTCAGTCCCCTTAGTTTCACCCGTGTATATAATAGTGTTAGGTTTGTACATGTAGTTAGAGAATGTAATGAAATCAACTCATCAATTGAATTAATTGGTAAAAGGATGCCATTTTTTTAGAGGTTTTAGTATTGAGTAGTTACTTTTACAACTTATAAATCAGTTGTCAATATGTAAAAAAAAATTAAGCAAATATTATCTTATAATTAATTCATACTTTCTAAAAAAACCTTAATTACATAATACTATATATACTTAATTCATAAAAAACTTAATGAAATCATACATATATTTTTGCATGTATCATATATGAAAAATTATATGATACATTCCAATAATTTTGTAAAATCTTACCAGGAGATTATATACAGGGATGGAGCTATGTGTAGTTCTAGAGAGCCATTGTCCTCCCCCAATTTTTTACTATTAAAATGTATCTAAGGATAAATACTTATCAGATCTTTAAGTTTTGATTATTTTAAACATGCTTCTCATAATTTTTATTATTAATTATACTTTATCCCCTTGAACTAGAATCTTGGCTCCGTTCCTGATCACACACCTATTTTATATATATACCCTTGTGACTTTCATGAATATAGTTTATAGATACAGATGATTAAACATTTAAATCACACTTTTGATTTCTATTTGATCTGCAGAACCAGCAGCAAATGTCTTACGAGGCGAGAGAGCAGATGGATGAGCAGGGATACCAGCGAGCGGCTCGTGCAGCCGCGGTGGATTACAACTCGCAGATGCCTTTCTCTTTCCGAGTGCAGCCGATGCAGCCTAACTTACAAGAGAGGATGTATGAAAGGTTGCGAGGGAGTTGAGGGCTGCTGCACTCATCTAATAGCTAGCTAATGCTTGATTTCTGAAGAAGAATAAGTTCATGAATATCTCAGACTATAGATATCAACTGTGAACTTCATCTTTATGAACAATCGTTGTATCTACTTTGAGGCACCTATATGTGTGTTTATGCCTTTTAAGTATGTTTGTGTGTGTGGTGGATATTGGATTTGAGATGGACCTAATACTCATATGGATGTATTCTTCTTTTCCACCTCTAAATAAATCTTTTTATTTCAACCTCTAAATTTTCACTAAAGTCTTACCATAGTGAAACTTAATAAACACTAAACTCTCCTCTTACCTAAATGGCTTGCATTTTATGCAGATGGTTCATTTTTTTTATAAATTTAATATAAGATGGGAATTGTTACTTGCTGTATCAAAAAGTAAATTACAAGCTTATGATAAAAAAATGAGTAGTTAGGGGCTGTTTGGTTTGGGAAATGTGGGATTCCCATGGATATAGAATCCACATTCCCTCATTTGGTTGGCCGGTAATCTCATTCCCGGTAATGTAAGATTACCAACAGTGAATTTTTTGGGGTATATTACTGGGAATGTCATTACCTCCCTTCCCTTAGGTATTGTTGGATTACCGACGTTTTGGACTAAAATGCCCTTAAATTTTTTTCCAAAAACATCCTTAAATTTTTTTCCAAAAATATCCTTATTCTATCATTGAATAATAAAAATTTTACGAAAGTTAAATTACAAATTTATCCTTAAACTATTTTATATTTACAAAAAAAAGTCTATAATTAAAATTTTATATGAAGTTCAGGGGTTAAAATAAAATTTTACCCTTTCATTAAACCTTTTTATATTTTCAATTTTGTAAAAAAAATTAAATAAATTTTATGAATTTAAATTTTTTAAAGAAAATATATAAATATCTTATAGTAATATTATAGTAGATTTCAACTTGTTAAAAAATACATATAATAAAGACAATTTGGTCAAATATACATTCCAATAATTTTTTATTCCTTTAACCAAACACGATAATCTTACATTCCTGCTAAACCAACCAAACACAAAATACAACATTCCCTGTAATCCTATTCCTTAATAATCTTTTATTTCCACTGGTAATCTTACATTCCGTGAACCAAACGCACCCTTATAGTAAGATACCCTTACGTTTTGTAGAGATGTATGGCGCCATTTAAGGATTCCATTTCCTAGTACCATGACCAAAATGAACTCCTACTTCCAACATCTCTTCCAAATTTATAGTCCAATATCTTCGTGTCATTTCTCTTCACACTTCCTCTCATTATCTCTTTTTTTTTACTTGGAAAAAGAGAGACAAGACGGTATCTTGCTTAAATAGACAAGTAAATGTTTAATATGTTGATAGATGGATTGAGAGGGACTTAAAAATTCTAAATTTTTATATATAGATAAAAAAATTTATATTTTGTATTGAAAATTTATTTTTATCTCTTTCAAATTTTATAACTTTGCTCCTAACATAAAATTTTGCTTCTGTCTCTATGTGTAGATGGTAACGTAAAGTATTTATCATTCTCCTTTTTTTTTTTTAAAAAAAAAGAAGATTTTAAGACTTATTCTTGTATTTTATTGTTTTAAATCTGTTCTGTAAAATTTTACGGGGACTTTGCTTATGTTGAATTTATTTTATTAATTAAATAATTGCTTGCACGATAAAGATAAATATTTTAAATTTAAAATAACTCGTTTTATTTTTATTATTTAAAAAATAAAATAACTTAAATATACTCGTTCATTTTTATGGATGAATATCAAAATTACACATATATTTTTTTAAATCTGTAATATGATGCATAAAATTTAGTTTTATAAAATTGTGTGCGTGAAACTTTAATTTTAATTTAGTTGCACACATTAAAATTCTGATTTTGATTAAATTGTACACATAAAAGTTTTATTGAATGAATATAAATATTTGTGTATATGTTATGAAAAAAATATAATGATGTTATGTAGACAATAATTTTTATATTTATAAAAATTAAATTAAATCAAAATTTCATATATATAAACCTTAGTAAAAGTTTGTGTAGTTTTGATGTTTATCACTTTATTTTATTATTGTAACTTAAAATTTGAGACACCAATTCGACCACTTAATAAATAGGATAAATTATTAAATGATCATTTATATTTGAGTAAATTTTGTTTTAATTGTTAATGTTTCAAAAGTTATGGTATGGTCACCAATATTATCAATGTAACATATTATGGGATTAGAACATTCGACAATTGAAAAAAGTTCATAAAAATAATTGAAAAAAACAGAGAACTGTTTTGAGATTTTATATTTTTTTTCTAATTTTAAAGAGAAATTATATAAATTTAAATTTTATAAAATATATATGTCTATTTTTTTATAAGTTTCTCATACAAGACTAATTAATTGAGAAATGAGATTGGTATCTCAACTTTTAGGTACCAAATTGGTCCAAGTTGCCATGTTTATGGCTAAAAATTACGTTAGCCCTTAAAACTGTTGTAATATATAAAACTTGATACTTTAATCACAGCCCAAAGACAAATTAGATGTTAATACTCTTAACAACATTTAATGATAGTGTGATCAAAATATAACAAATTGATAACATTAGTGATCACAATATGACTTTTTGAACATTAGTGACTAAAATGAAAAATGATTCAAATCCGACCATCATTTGCATAATTTTTCCTGTTTTATGTTATAAAATGAAAAACAAAGCAGTACCTTCTACACTTAAGAACAAAAAGAAAATACAGCATGAAGTGAAATGAATCCAAATATAAAAACATGTTTGGACTATTTCATCTTTATCTTAAGCCTATTATTCGCCGCTTGTCCTAGGAAGTATTTCATTATTAGAAGAAAATATATATATTTTTTGTTTATATCTTTGTAGTTTGCAATTTGCATCACTTTCTCATGGATCAACAATGAATTAATATAGTGAAATGAAAAAGTCATCTTTGCATCTACAATATTTGACCCGAATTAATTAATTAATAAATATAATATTATATAAAAAATACCACTGTCCTACTTTCCATTTTTCTTTCCATTTTTGAATTTAATTATATCTTAATTTTAAATAATTATATTTTATTTAATTTTTTGTCTTTATATTTGTACATCCAAAATATATTATATTTTGTTACATATAAATTAGAATATTTTAAGTAGAAATATATTTTAATTTATTAAATGATGATGATAGGTAGAGTGATAGAAAAATTATATATAAATCTTATTAAAATGAATTTTCTATATACAAATTTTTTGATAAATCTAAGATGAATTCAAGTTAGTATATGTTCAAAAACTCTCAATTTTCTGACAATGAATGCTCATACCCTGCATAAGTGGTGCTTAAACTTATAACCTTAAGGGTGTGTTTGGTTCACGAAATATAAGATTACTGATGTGATCCTGTCTAGCACCAACTTTCTTCATGACATACTTACATCATTGAAGATCCATCAAGTTCAATCTAAGGGAGTTCTACCTTACTTTATCTTAAATTTACTCATTTATACACTATGTACTATTATGAGAATAAATTTGCATATTAGACTATACTTGAATTATCAAAACATGTGCATTCATTCATTATGTCATATGGTTTGCATCATTGATTGATATTCAAGCATATAATCTATAGTTATAATAATAATATTAATTATCATATGATGCATGAGTTATTATTATAACCTATAATACACATCTTTATCATATACACATTAATATAGTTCATGTACTTAACTTATTCTTTATGTTATGTATGTAGGTACATTCGGCCACAACTTGAGAGCTATATTGGAGCTAAATGGAGAATGCAACAACAAGGAAACTTATATGGGGACGTTTAGGAGAGCATAAGGAATAATTGGTGAGAAGTTGATTGGAGACCCGTGAGCTCATAGCTGGATTGAGCTGAAGATTTGAGCTACAATATGACTTCAATTCAGCTGGGGACCTGCACCATCATCATCATCACTTAGGACACTTCAAATATGTCATAAGTCAAATTTTGTGAAACAGTACCTTTTCACGAATAGTTGCCACCTCAAGAGGTACCTTTTCACAAGGAGCTTCCATAATGTTCACCATGTTACAACTCACCTATGGCCAGCTCACCTCCAGCCCATTCACCTTAGAACTAGCTCAAACATGAAAGGTTACATTTCCAAACATTATGACCTTTCATGAATGATGTTGCCCATTAAGATGCCCTTTGATCAAGGAGCATGCTGGTGATGAGATTATATCCATTGGAGGCTTAAATCACAAAGAGACATGAGATAAAGCTCCATGCCTACTCGGCCACACCATATGCCTTGCACATGAGAGTTTTGGCGCCAACTTGAGGAGGCACATCATCATTCAACCAAGAGAGATGACTTTGGCGCTAAGATGAACCAACATGCACCATTCGGCCAAAGGAGATGTCTTCCCACCTTTGCCGAAACATCAAACCCCTTTATGAAGGGTTAGCTGAACCAACACCAAGCTTAAGGACATATCTCTTCATTCAATTAATTACGTATTTTCATTAAGAGACATGTACCTAGCCGAAACACTATGTAACCATTCGGCCAAGCCCTCTCATTTCCTATAAATTGAGAGGCTTGCCATCATTTGTACTTATCTCATTCTTATTATAAACAAACCTTTGTGAGTTTAATCTCTCTTCAAAGTTCTTTGTGAACTTTATCGATTAAGCAAGTATAATTTCTTATACTTGTGGCCTCAATCCTTCCACCTTGATTCCTAAATTCCTAGATTTATATATAGTGGGTTGATGACACTTTCATCACCCCTCAAGCAAGTTTGTGAAGATCGGGATTGTGCTTTCTAGCATAGTTTCTTCTTTGGCGTGCTTGAGATACAATATCACCACCATCTCCATTTTAACTTCATCACCATCAACATCCTCCATCAAGGCCATCAACACCTTCATATTTCCGCAACCATCTCTTTCATTTCTCTTCTTTTCATTACTTATATTATTTATCCATTTCTTAAGTCCATTATTAATCTTATTTATTTCTTATCTTTGTTGAAACCAAACTTAAAACTCAAGGACATCAGTACTTGTCAATTCTAGATCGGGACACAATAAGGCTATCTACTCACTTCTATTGAAAAGTGTAGATTTCGCCTTACATCAAGCGGTATTCAGAGCATAGTTGGATTGACAACAAAAGTGTCATTGG